CAAAATTATTAATAGAGATTCAGAATACATCAAGGACAATCTAAGATATTTTCCCTTCTGCAGACTTCCAGATACACTGTTTACTAAGGATCTCCAACATAATTCAGGAATAGAAAGGCCTGTGACCAAGAAATAAGCCATGTGGGCTAGCAAACAAACAGATTTAAAGCAAATAAGTGAGCCATTTTATCTCATCACACTTTGGGTTTTGTCCCAAAAAGTTCCATTAGAAGTAATAACATGAGGTTCTGAGTTCCTGAAGGGGTGGTTGTTACTATAAAAACAGTCTGAGTTCCTGAAGTGGTGGTAATTAGCATAAAAAACTGAAATTAAATAGGTGGCATCTTAAATCAACTCCATAAAAATCTAAAGATTAATAATAATTACTTCCATATCTGACTCACTACGAAGATTTTTCTATGAAAACATAATGCTGCAACATTAACTTATATACACAATAATTTTCTAATTTTCCCAATAACTGTGATCTGCTTAGACATTGGGAAGTGTATTACATCTTTAACAGTCCAATCACAAAAGTTTTAAAACATTAAGAAAAGATGATCATTCCATTCCTCATCCCAATTTTATTACAAATCTTACTTTACCGATTTTGATGTAAACGTTTCATGCCCACCAGCTAGATAATGTATGAAACATCTAGTTGTCATTGCAGAGCAAAAGATAAAACCAGCTTTAAACTGTAAAACGGCAACTTGCATACAATCTGTCTGGTTAGAACAATATAAAATTTTACTTAACCAGATCTCATACGTCAAACTCTAGGTGCATTAACAGTAGAAACATTGTCTGCACCTAACAAATAACCAGATAAAGTATAGATCTGCTCAGGGAGGGAACTAACATTCTAACCTCCTTCCGAAATGACAAACTAGAACGGCAAAATTACACTCAGGCACATGGAGTACTCTTCTCTCAAATCACTCCACAGAGAACTTCATCATTTGCTCCGCCCTCTAATAACTCATGCAAAAAAAGTTCAGCACCATCAGAGGGAAACAAGGCATAGAGAATTCATAGAATGGCTTAGGGCCTTTCCTCCAGGCGGTAAGAGGATCTGCGTGTGCCCTTCGCAGGGGTCCAAAGAAAAAGAATAACCGGGGGCTTGGGGAATACTGACACCCAGAAACTGACTTTCTCTCCAAGAAGTTTCTGCCGCCATCCCTATTTTATCAGCAGGAGGATCCGGCGCCATCGTCCCAGTCTTTACGATTTTATTATGGGGAGGTGGGAAACGCCACCCAGGATTCCTCCATGCCTTCCCTCTTAAGGTTGGGGGGGGGGGCTCCCCCTCATTCTTTTTCTTTAAACCTCTGTCTTGAAGGTACTCTTCAGCACCCCTCTTTACAGCGGCCTATCCCCCAGGATCGGTAAAGGCGCTGTCGAAGCCACCATCCTCGCCGTTAAGGCGGGAGGGCCCGAGCACGCCAGGGCCACGGCGATGGCTCTGAGGGGCCCAGAAAGGGGAAGGGCAGGCCAGGGACTAAGGGAGAATGACCTGACTAAGGAAGAATGGAAAAAGGAGGTGAGAAGATGCACTGCACCCCAGGGCTGCACAGAGAAGAGAAGATGATGAAGAAGGAGGAGGGCGGTGGCCCGGGTGCGGCCCCCCACCTCTCCCGCCCCCAGGTCCCCGGACCGGCGGGGGCGGATGGGATCGGCCCATTCCCCGGGTCTTAGCTGACAAGGGGGGTGGTAGGGGGGTGGGGGTGTCTCCCTCCACACTGCGAAGAGACCGAGAACAAGGCATGGGGTACGCGGGGGGGGCTGTCTCCCGCCTGAACCCGGAGACCCGACGCCGTCGTCGCCTCTTCCTCAGAAGGGAGGACGGGAGGTATGGGTAAAGCCCGAGGGAGAAATGCATGAAGGTAAGGGGAAGCCCAGGGCGGAACGGCGGTCCGCTCCAGACCCCACTCTCCACCTTCCGGTAACCGCGTCTCTTACCGGTGATGGCGGTGAACTGCTGAATTAACCCCTTCAGCGCCGAGGACGCCGCGGAGCCCCCGTGGGCAGCCATCTTACCGCCGCCGCCGCTGCCGCCGAACAACAACACAGACACACACGGACCTCCCTCCCCCACCTCGCCGCGCGGTTTGCGCAGGCTCATTGACCGCCCCCAAACTCCGCCCCTCCCGCCCCGCCCCCCCCGCGGCGGTCAGCGCAGGCGCACTTCCAGGCCCGTCCGGGAGCGCTCTCTGCTCTCCGGGTTGGCTGCCCGGTTGCTGCCTGCCGGCTGCATCCTTCCTTGCAACCTCTGGTGCCTTCCTCTCCAAGCTCTAAGGCCGTTGTCACAGATGCGATATCTGTTCCTGGTTTCCGAAATAAGCTGAGGGCTCGGCAGGTAGTAGGCTCTTCGCGTTTCAGTTTCACAAGGTTTATTGACAGACCCAACTGCCGTTGACAGTTTTTCCTTCTTTTTTTTGCAGCTCTACAGCCCTCTGCTAGGTTTTCCTGCAGCTCCTGTCAAAATACAAATCCTACCTCATCGCATTGAAGCGACTTTCGCACCTGCTCGCCAACCTTTAAACTAATTGTTTGGCTAACCTGGTGCGACGATCCATCCAACAGAAGTAAAATCCCAGAACCCTTCTGTGCCAATAAAGCACTGGACGCAACAGTCTGACATATAGTAGATTTAAATAAATGATTGTCCAGTCCACTTTCCTTCAATACATTCGTCAATCCATGCCTCCCCTCAAGATTTCACTTAGTTTCCTGGCCTATAAAACGAAGAGGTGTCATTTATGTAAAAAGAAAACGTGTATATGTATATACACTATATGTGTATATGTATAGAAAGGGCACTGGAAAGTTGTACACAAAACGTTACTGGTTACCCCTAGAGAAGGGAGCAATGGGGGGGATGGCAAAAAGAGACTTTGAGGGCTTTTTATCCTTTGTTTTCAAACAAAGATAATATTAGTATATTATATTTTTAAAACAATTATAGGGATGCACGCAAATCTGATTATCCTTCCCTTTATTTATGAGAATAAAATTAAGGAAACTTATTTTTAGGTTCTAACCTCCCACCCACATACTTTGCAGCTACATAGGAAAATGGCCCTATAAAAGATGAGTCGTCTGGAGAATTGACCCACCCTGAGTCTAAATGTGCTATTGGGGTGAATTAAGAAATAACCACGTCTAGGGCGCCTGGGTTGGCTCAGTCGCTAAGTGTCTAACTCTTGATTTTGGCTCAGGTCATGCTCTCACCCTCATGAGAGTGAGCCCCATGTTGGGCTCCGCGCTGAGTATGGGGCCTACTTAGGATTCTCTCTCTACCTCTCTCCCACTCGTTCTCTCTCTCTCACAAATAAACATTTAGAAAAAGTTTTTTTTTTTAATTTTTTTTAAATGTTTATTTGTGAGAGAGAGACAGAAAACACGGGCGAGGGACAGAAAGAGAGAGGGAGACACAGAATCTGAAGCAGGCTCCAGGCTCTGAGCTGTCAGCACAGAGCCTGATGCAGGGCTCGAACCTACCATTGGTGAGATCATGACCTGAGCTTAAGTAAGATGCTTAACCAACTGAGCCACCCAGGTGCCCCAAAATAAATAAACATTAAAAAAAGAAATAACCAAGTCAAATGAAGATAACTATAGAGTTATAGCTGCAGGAAATATGACTGATATGATTGAAGCTATGACTGCTATGATATCAGGAAACAGGCTCCTGAAGTGACTGGGTGGCTCAGTCAGTTAAACATCTGACTCTTGATTTTGTCTCAGGTCATTATCATCCGGTTCATGAGATCGAGCCCTGAATCAGGCTCTGTGGTGACAGTGGAGAGGCTACCAAGATCTGTAGATTTATTTCCAAGGTCTTAGAATTCAGTGATGTGATTTTTAGGTTAATCTTGAGAAAGTGGTAAAGATTGTGCTATCCACAATTCTAGAAAATATTTTGTAGAGATTAAAAAAATAAAAGATAATGAGGCAGGAATAATACAACTTTGAAAAGCCTTTTTCAGGGCACCTGGGTGGCTCAGTCAGTTAAGTGATTAAGCATCTGAATCTTGATTTTGGCTCAGGTCACCATCTCACAGTCGTTGTGTAATTGAGCCCCAAGTTGGGCTCTGCACTGAGCATGAAGTCTGGTTGGGATGCTATCTCTCCCTCTCACACTGACCCTCCTGCATTTGCACTCTCTTTCTCAAAACAAATACACTATATTTAAAAAGCCATTTTGAACTAACATATGAAAGATCTTTAGAATCATAAGAAAATATCTTGAAATACATTCCTCAAATCATGAAAATACGTTTTAAAAAAATGGGCTATCCTCAGAAAATAAACTGCAAAAATATTATATATTGAATAATGAAAAACTAAAATTTTAGATAACAAAGTAAATATCCCAAAGCTAAACATCAGTTACTATTTGAATTATTTCACCAAATTACACTAGGATTTGTTTTTAATTTTAGGTCTGGGTTTAAGACTTCCTGTCCCAAAACAATCTGTAACATGTTACTGTAATTTAATGAAACTGGACAGAGTAAATGAGCTAGAAGGTACAGTCAAAATAATCTGATTCAACACTTGTCTTTTATCATGACCCTCCTGAGATTCAGAGTTTGAGTTGTTCAAGGTTATAAAATGGTAGGGTGGATCCTAGAATCCAAATCTCTTGAATCCTAGACAAATGTACTATACTTTGACTTTAAATGGTAATATTTCTTTTTTTAAAAAGCATAGAATTATAGGGGCATCTGGGTGGCTTAGTCAGTTCAGCATCGAACTTCAGCTCAGGTCATGATCTCACAGTTCACGGGTTCAAGCCCTGCATTGGGCTCTGTGCTGACAGCTCAGAGCCTGGATCCTACTTTGGATTCTGTCTCCCTCTCTCTCTGCTCCCTGCTCCCCCTCCCCCCCCGCCCCACCACCGCATGCTCTCTCTCTCTCTCTCTCACTAAACATTACAAAAATATATTTTTTTATTTTTTTTTATTTTTTTTTTAAATTTTTTTTTAATGTTTATTTATTTTTGAGACAGAGAGAGACAGAGCATGAATGGGGGAGGGGCAGAGAGAGAGGGAGACACAGAATCGGAAACAGGCTCCAGGCTCTGAGCCATCAGCCCAGAGCCCGACGCGGGGCTCGAACTCACGGACCGCGAGATCGTGACCTGGCTGAAGTCGGACGCTTAACCGACTGCGCCACCCAGGCGCCCCAAAATATATTTTTTTAAACCAGATAATTATATTACATAGCTTTTAAAAGTTCAACTGTTGACACAAGGCATAGCTAAAACATAAGGATAAATGTTGAAGGGAAATGTAAAAAAGACATTCAGAAGTAGTATTAAGAAAATGAAAGCCAGAGTAGATTTTAAAGCAAAATGTATCATTAGAGATAAAGAGGATCACTACATAATGACAAAAAGAACAACCAGAAAGATAAAATAATTCTAAACCTGTATGCACCTAATGACATGATCTCAAGGGCGTACAAATAAAGTTAATGTTTAAAGAAGAAATTTGACAAATATGCAATTATACAACCCCTTTCTCTCAGGCAAAAGTAGTAAAGATACAGAAAATACTTTTTCTAGTCAAGCATATGTGGCACAAAATAAAAATTGACCGCAAAGTCTCAACAAATGTCAAAGAACCATTATAATATAGAATATGCTCTTTAAATACATATCAATTAAAAAATAATAAATAAATAAATAAATATCAGTTAAATTAGAAATTAGTTTTATTTTTTAAATAAAAATTTTTTTTCAACGTTTATTTATTTTTGGGACAGAGAGAGACAGAGCATGAACGGGCGAGGGGCAGAGAGAGAGGGAGACACAGAATCGGAAACAGGCTCCAGGCTCCGAGCCACCGGCCCAGAGCCTGACGCGGGGCTCGAACTCACGGACCGCGAGATCGTGACCTGGCTGAAGTCGGACGCTTAACCGACTGCGCCACCCAGGCGCCCCAGAAATTAGTTTTAAAAAGGACACCTGGCCAGCTCAGTCAGTAGAGCATGAGGCTCCTGATCTCAGGGTTGTGAGTTCGAGCCCCACATTGGGTGTAGAGATTACTTAAATAAATAAACTTTAAAAATTAGTTTTGAAAGAATAACTTAAGCTCATATACTTGGAAAGTTAAAAAGAAACTTCTAAATAATTTGTGAACCAAAGACAAAATAAAAATGGTGTATCATCCGGAGTACCAACAGATAACAGATTAAAGGAACAAATTATGAAGGTGTGGGTGGGATATGCTGGAATCAAGGCACAGTGGAGGATCTGAACTTGCAACAGCAGGATAGTCACAACCTCTGGGTCCAAAGGGATGAGAGAGGGCTTCCTGGAATCCCAAAGGACAGAGAATCGTATTTGTAAAGTAGGTCACCTTTTATGAAGCAGTGACCTGTCAAGGGTTGTAACCAGCTTGAGGCAATCTCATGGAAGAGACCAAGGGAACAAATACCCTGACCTTGTTCTCCTCCTTTCTCATCTCCTGCCAGGAATCCCGACTGGCAGAACCCAACAAGAAAACAAGAGGGCACAGCAACCCACTGATGTCTATACAGACAGTCTGTGTGCCAGAGAGCAGGGTAGAGAAAGGAGGAAGTGGGTCTGGAGGGGCAAAAGGAAGTCGATAGGCACAAATAGAAAGTGGAAAATATTTAAAATGGAATGATCTTGGAAATATATATCAAAATTTGTGGGATGCATTTTTCACAGTACCTTAAGGAAAAAAATGTAACCTTAAATGTTTACATTAGAGAAGATTAGAAAATGAGTAACTCAACATCCCTAAACCTAGGGAAATTTGAAGGGGGAAATGTAGGGGAGCTCAGTGGGTTAAGCGTCCGACTCCAGTTCAAGTTACGGTTTGTGAGTTCCAGCTCTGCATCGGGCTCTGTGCTGACAGCTTAGAGCCTGGAGCCTGCCTCTGTTTCTGTGTCTCCCTCTCTCTGTCCCTCCCCCACTCACGCTCTCTCTATCAAAAATGAGTAAACATTAAAAAAAAATTTTGGAGCCTGGGTGGCTCAGTTGGTTAAGCATCCGAATT